TCATGATCAGGTATAGCAGCACCAAAATTTCCCTCCCTTGCCAGGACAGGCTCTCTGCCTCTGTCTCAGGGCTGGGCTGAGGTGTCATGGTCACCTTTCCAGCCGCCAGATTCCTTTGACTTGCAGGAACTCTTCCCGTGATACCTGAAGCATCAACAGGAGCTACAAAGGGGCTCATTCTTTCATTCAGCCTTGCAGGTTTCCTTTGAGGAAATATCCTGTGGGACAACCACAGCAGTTCCTTACTGTCCCTGTTGACCAGAACACCTTGGTGTGTGCTGCCCCCAAAGCCAGCGTGGGCTTGTGCCCACCATGGGCTGCCCAGTGCCCATGGGGGAAGCTGGAGCATCTCCCAAGCCTTGGGTGGGCCCTGGCCAAGGCCTGGACACAGCAGGGCCTTTGTTGTGCTCTGGGGCTGTTGCTGCACAAGACCTTCCTGACACACAAGAGATCCCTGCTTTGCCAGGTGGGTCAGGGTGCTCAGCTGGGGAGGGAGCAGAAGGGGGTGGCACTGGGTTTCATGGGACCTCTGGGTGGTGGGTGTGTGTCCCAAAACCTCCAGGAGCAGGGGGTTGGTTCCCAAAAGCAGCTGAGAGCCTGAGTGTGGCTACCCTGGAATAAGAACAAAATCCCCCCCCAGCAGCCCTGACACCTCATTAGCACAAGGCTCCATTAAGTGAGCACTGCACGTGCTGCAGGAATGATTCCCCGGGGACAGAAATAAACAGACATTAAAAACAAAACTAAATCAACTCCCACCAGTTCAAACAGTTTGAGATTTCAGTGCTCCTGTTCTCCTGATGGCAGGTACAGGTGAGGGGCATCAGGGGCAAGGGGTGGGGTCACAGCCAGAGGCAGGAAAAGCCCCAGAGCCCGGGAACAAGGGGCAGGAGGAGCCCCAGGTGTGGGTCTGGGGGACCTGCACCTATCTCAGTCCTCACTATTTTATTTCAGCTGATAAAAATAAGCCCAAGCAGGGCCCTGGCAGGGGGTTATTCCTTCAGAGGAGGAGAGGCAAGAGAACAGCTTTGGGCTTGGTGCTGGGGGCAAGTGGATGCTCTGGGAGCGGATTAACCCCAGCACCAGCGGTGGGAGGGCAGGGGGTGCCAGGGGTGTTATTTACTCATTAAGGAAGCAAAATGAGATGAACAGGACCTGCCTGGGATTAACTGAATCCAAAAGCCCCCCCAGCTTCACTCCCTCACTCCTGAGAGCAGAGCCATGCACATCCCTGGGCTTTTCCCTGGAGTGCTCCATGGTGCTTTACCTGCTTTGAAAGGATTAGATTCAATTCCCAACTGGATACTGATTCCTGTTCCTGGTTTGGGCTGTTTCTTTGCTGGCATCAGTGCAGAGTCAGGCCCTGGGATGAAGAACAGCTGTGCCCAATATCCCAGTTTGGGGCATGGCCTGAGTGTTTTTGGGGGGAGGCATGATGTAGGGGCAAACTACAGGTTGCATCCCATATCCTGATGCCCACTCAGGACATTTTGGGTGCACAGACCCCACCAGCCTGGGGCTGTCCAAACCCAACCTACCCCTCCCTGTGTAGGAAAATGGGAATATTACAGCTCATTCTGCTAGGAAAGGAAAGAAGGGCTGGCTGTGGCACACAGTGCCCTGCACAGTGGGCAGGAATTGTAATTTGATATATTAATGCAGAACTCCACCTCCTGTGCCCCCAGGACAGGGAAGGCAGGTGAACACTGACACAGCAGCTGGATGCTCCCCATCCCACACAGCACCAAGGGCTCTCAGCTTCAGCAGAAGGAAAAAGAAGGTGATTTCTAAGGGAGCTGGGGAAGGGGCAGCACTGGCTGCTTTGTATTCTGCTACCGAAAGGACAGAGGAAATGAGTTTTCTTTAAAAGCTTTAAAAGGACAGGAAATATCCTGCTTATCTCAGGCCTGTCCTCAGCTTACCCCTGGGATGGGAGCTGGGTTTGGCTTCAGGGGCTTAACCCAGGTGGAGCAGGGTGAGGATGGGGCTGGGGATGAGGGTGGAGATTGTGATGAAGATCAGGGTGAGGATGGGGCCAGGGATGGAGCTTAGGATGAAAATGAGGAGAAGGGTGGGATCAGGAATGGGGTGTGGGATAAGAATGGTGCCTGGGATTGGGCTGAGCTCACAGGCTCAGCACTGGGGACATCACTGCCAAGTGATGCTGGCACAGGGACAGAGCACACCCCAGCCCATGAATGGAACATCCACAGCAGTTCAGGTTTCCCAGGGCTGTTATGGTCCCACCCCAGCACTCAGAGCCATCCTGGCACAGCAAACAGCCTTTATCTGCCCCACATCCCAGCCTGTTTGCACTGGAAGCTTGTTTTATCACAGAACCACTTTAAACTCTGCCCCTTTTGGGAGCCCTCTAGGGGAAAAGTCAGTGAAACACAAAGGTGGTGTTACTCTTTTGTCTTCTTTTTCTAAAAGGTGGAGCAGGACCATGGCAAAGTCCTCTTAACATCCCCAACCAAACAGGGGGGACCCCCATTTCCAAGAGACTCCAGCCCAGCCTGCTGGAAATGTTGGAGCCAATTCAGGTCAATTAAAGTTGAGGTTTTTATTGAATTAAAGTGTGAAAGTAAATTCAGCCAGCCCAGTATTTGGGCTGTTTTTTTTTTTTTTTTTAATGTTAATTTTTTCACCCCACTCATAAAAGTGATTTAGAAAGTGGTAGGGATTCCTGGGCTGGAGGAGACCTGGGAGATGGTTCTGGAGCTTGGAAAGGACATGGACACGTTCCTCACACCTGGGAGTGTCGGCAGCAGTTCGGACGTGAGGAATAAAAGCGCTTCTGGCAGCAGCAGCCAGGTAAAATCCAGGAAAATAGCTGGAAAGGATTCCTCATGGGATGCACTGCCTTGGCTGGGGAGCCCAGGTTGTCTCCAGGACTGTCTAAGCCTGGAAGGAGGTGGTTTTTGAGCTCCAACTGGGATCAAACCCCTGAATTTGCTCTGGTCAGCACAAAAACTCACCCTGGCAGAGTCCACTGGGTACAAAACCATTCCCTGAAACAGGGCAGTGTCCCACCAGCCCAGGGATCACCAGAGCAGAGCAGGAGCCCAGCGGGGCCTGGACCTTCTCCCCATTTTTAATGCCTCTGCAAGATTTTCCTTCCAAAAGCTCCCGGCTGTGGCTGGCTGTGCACGCCGAGTATTTTTAGCAAGTATTCATGCGAAACAGCTCAGGATAATAATTTGCAATGTAAAGTTAGAGGCTTCCACAAAAACTCAGAGTAAGCAGATTTGGGTCAGCAGGACTTTGTGCTGATTGTGCTGAAAGGAACCATCCAGCCAGGTCCGGGGGAGCCACACGGGGCTGGAGCTGGCACTGAGTTTTCTGGGTAATAAACCCTCACTGTGCCCACAGGACCAAAACTTGAAATCCTTCCATGGGCTGTGACTCTGCAAAGTCACAGATAAATAATGTCACATGCAAATAGCCACATCCAGCATGACAGCCACCAGAGTAGCCATTGCCTTTCTGGACTCACATTTTCCCCCATCTCTTTCTGCCATCACTGATCCTTGAGCAGGAGGGAAAAGCTTTGAGAAAACAGAGTTAATAAATCCAGCTCCTCAGCCAGGGGGGAGCAGAGAAGGTGAAGGGTTTAACACCACGTGCCAGGGGCTGCAAAGCTCTGTGTGGGTGGGAGTTTTAGTGCTCTGAGGATGCCACAGCATCCAGCCCAGGTTACCTGCACCAGAATAACGAGGGAAAGAAGTGTCTCACATTTTTAATTGTTTTAATAAAGAACAGAAGGATCTCTATAGACAGGACATGACTGGGCACCACATCCTTCATTTTGAGGATGACACCATCTCATTTTCTCACACCTCTGTGGCCCAGAGGAAAACTCTCCATGATTTTCCTGCTTCCTCAGGCTGAGGGAAACTTCTGTCCGAAGCAAACAACCAGAGTAAATTGAGGATGAAGTGTCCCAGCCCCAGAAGGGATTTTTGTCAAGGCTGGGTTAGCACCTACCAGCTGATGATTTCCACTTCTGTCCAGCTCTTTACAAGGGGGGCAGCAAATGCCACTTACTTTAGTATAAAATGGGGTTTATGTGTTTAGACTTTGTCATAAAGGGTTACAATTAAAACTTCACTTTAAAATGGACTTCTCTTAAGCTGTGAGTCCATAAAATATGTGATCAATTGCGATGTGAGGCCTCGAGGGCTGCTGCATGCTTGGTACAAAACTCACTTTTAATAGAGATTTGGTAGCAGAATTAGAACTGCAGCAACTGAGAAAAAAACCCCAATACCACATGGTGCTGTTCTCAAAATGGCTTCTTCCAGTTACATTCTGCTTTTGCCAGCTGTTATGGGCTAAAAAAAGTCCTACATAATCACAAATGTTAATAAATACAGTACAAGTAGGGGCTTTTTCCCCTCCGTTTTGCTGCCATTCTTTGGGGTGCATTTTCTTTAAGCTCTTTTCTGTATCACAAATACAAGTTGGGTTTTTTGTTTGTTTGTTTTGGTTTTGGTGGGTTTTTCTTTTCCTTTTCCCTTGTGTGAAGAAACACCTCTGCAATTCCCTAAGATCCTTGCTTTGGGACTTAATTTTGTCCTCACACCAACACCAAACAACTCCTAGCGCTATTAAAAAATAAGTGCTCAGCCCACTTAATAATTATTTTTACTGTGTTTTGAACACACAAAACATTAGGGCACCCTGCAGCCTTGTCACTGTATGCATTTGAAATGTACACTCAGGGGTATTTTCAGGCAGCAGAAGCACTTTAAACATTTTCATGAGGAAAAAGTCAAAACCAGGGAATGGCACAGCTCATCAGCACCAGCTCCTGATCAATGGGTTTGTTCTGCCTTCCCTCAGAGCCAAGGTGTAAACCCTGGGCTCATCCCAGACCACAACACAGAGTTAAAACCCTCTGGAAGAGAGAGATCCTTTTACCTGGGCTCACTTCCCAGGTGTGTGACTCTGCCTCTGCTGGGTGGAACGACACGGACTGACGACGTGAGCAGCTCCAATTGCAAATAAAAAAATCTTTATTGCATCTTAGAAGCAAGTCTTAAAAAAAAAAAAGAAAGAAAGAAAGGAAAAAAAAAAAAAGAGAGGAAAAGAAAAATTTTCCATGCACCTACATCCTTGGGACTGTCACCAGAAAATGATGAACATTGTAAGACACAGACTCTATGCTAGTTGCAGTTCATACTCCATACATGTGTAAACAATGGTTATTTCTTCTACTGGAATACCAATTGCACTGTAAGATCCCTTCAAACGTGGCAACAACCACCAAAGCCTTCGGTTTTCTCCCTTCCTTCACTTGCCTCCACTTCCCAAAGAGCAGGCAAAGTGGAACTGAGGGCAATGGGATGAAATGGGGCTGGAGGATACGATAGAAAAATATATTGTTCGCTGGTTTTTATTTTCTGTTTCTGCTGAGCAGGATATTTACAGGTACATAGGTCCCAAGAGATCATCTGCTTCAATGACAATGTCCAGTCACTAAGTCTCAGTGTACAGGGTTCCCTATCTGGCTTTAAGGCACTTTATTTCGTGTATTTTCTCTTACCTTGCTAGGTGTTAACTCATAGGGATCACACTTTCCTTGTATTCAGCCTCCTCATCCCCAGTTCCTCTTAGAATACCAAAAAAATTCCTAAACTCACTGAAGTCATTCCAAAAATGTTGAAGAAATTTGGGGGAGAAAAAAAAAAGATCCATGAAAAAATATTTTAGAAAGTAATCTTTGGAGATCATTTACTGTAAGTATGATGTACACTACCTTATCAGTGAGAAGATGCAATACATTCCTAATATATATATATATATTTACACACGCATATATATATATATAAAATATTAAAATGACTAACAGATATTCAAGGAAAGGTCAAGAACCTAAAACAATGGATATTAAATAAATTAACGGTCTAGCAGATACAGAAAAAAAAAAAAATCCCAAAACAAAACTAGCAATCCAATGCAATAATTGTTCCCACTAACACCAGGTGACCGGAGGAAACGGACGCGATCGGGGACAGAGGAGCTCTGCAGGTTCTCCTCAGGGATTTTGGATTGTTCACTGTGTGCTGTCCTTTGGCTGCCAGAGATTCCCATCCCCAGCCCTTCCCCTGCTCCTCAGCATCCCCTGGTGCCCGGCCCAGCCTGTTCTGTTCTGTGAGCACAGAACCCACCACGGCTTCTTCCCCCAACATCCCAAACACAACAATTCCCACAAGGACCGACCGGATCACGGCTTGTGCTTACTTCCTTCCCTCGCCTGCCCATCACAAGTGGAGGTGTGTTTTTAAACTGAAATAATCAGCTATTAGGGAAAAACATAAAACCCCTCCTGCGATTTACCACCCTCGCTCATCGCCACAGCGACTCGGATTTTCTAACGCAATTTGAGAATTAATGGCTAATCCTGAACCAAAGGAGCAGAATCTTTGCACGGTAGCAGTCACACCAAAAACATTTAGACACAGCGTTTTGTCACTTGGCTTTGCACGCTCAGGTCCACATTTACAGAATCCCAGCCGTGAAGACGGCAACGGAAACGGCAGGAAACAATCTTTTGTTCATAAGGAAATTCTAATTCAAGTCAGATTTCCGCTGATCAGATAACTCTTAAACAACTTTTTTTTTGTTTGTTTGGTTTTTTTTTTTTTTTTTGTTTGAAGGCAAATATTGATCACAGTTTTGTTCAAAACCAAAAGCACAACAACAAAAAAACCCAAGGGCCTTGTTCTTCTCAAAACGAGCGCTTTGTAAGAAAACAACGATGATTTCTAAAATATATCCTGTGTGGTCTTTTAAAAGTGAATTATCAAAAAACATTTTCCCAAAAATAAATTAGATAATTAAAAAAAAAGTCTTTTCCAGCATAGCTGGACATTAGGCTGTCCTCACTGAGCCATTAGTATTGCTGCTTTTCCCAAAATTTGGGTCGTTTTTTTCAAACCATATTTCAGCCAGCTGTTGTGTGGACCCATACGTTGAAGCTTTGGACCCCAAGCACATTTTATATTGTTTTGGATCAAGATTAGGGTCACAAAAAACAGGGTGATGCACATGGACTACTCCAATTTCTTGGCTTCTGAAAGTTTTTAAGCCAGCTTGAATGACTTTGTTAAATAGATCTACGTCTTCAAGGCCCCAACCTTGGATGGAGACATCGAAGCCACCTGCTCGAAGAAGGTCAGCTTTGTAAATGCAGGTGATACCAAAGCCATAGTTCCTCCAGAAACCTGTTTTCTGAGTGAAGGCAAAATGATTGTCACTAGGAACCTTTCCACTATAAACAATCTTTGGATCATACTGGCTAAAAATTATGGGAAAATATACTTGCTGACCCAAAACTGTGTTGGCTCTACACCGCTGGAGGAATTCTGTGGTAAACACTAAGTCAACATCACAGAAGAAAAGTAAAGACTCGTTCTGGAACTGAGAAGATCCAACTTCCAGAGCCAGCGCCCTTGAGAACTCCCCCGACACCGGCAGAACCTGCATGTCAGCCTTGGGGTACTTGGAGCGGTAATCTCTCATCAGCTCGATCTGCTTCACCTTGTCAGGGTTGGAGTTGGAGTTGAAGAGCAGGACCACCAGCTTGACATTCTGGTTTGGAATGAGGCACGTCTTTTCAAAATTCCCCATGAACCTCGCAAACATGTCGAAGCGCCCGGACAGAGGGATCAGGATGTTGATCTTCTTGTCTTTGAGCTCCTTCCTTTCTGCTTTGGACCTGCTGAGCTGGAAGGGGACAAACATCTTCAGCGAGTTGGAGAGGAAGGACAAGGAGCCAGAATCCTGGTTGATTTTGCTGGCCAGCTCTTTGGCGTCCATCTCTTCGTGCTCCATGAACTGGATCTTGCTGAAGGTCTGCTGCAGGTACGCGTGCCTCCTCACGGGGACCGTCATCTTCTTCCCCTTGTGCTTCTTGTAGAGCAGCAGCAGGTCCAGCACGTACTCTGCCCCGTACATGGGGTTCACCCTGCGGTATCCGTACTGGATCTCCTTGAAATCAATGATCCTCCCCCGCGTCTTGGCGTTGGCGTTGATCATTTCCATCACCTGCATCACGATGTCATCCAACGCCTCGCGCTGGGACGAGTCCATGCCCCGGCGGGGCGGCTGCCCGTCGGCGCCCGAGTACAGGTACTTCCCCGTCAGGAACTCCCACTCCAGGATCTCCTCGCGGTGCCGGGGCTGGAAGCGCATGAAGGAGGGCGGCATGCCCAGCTGCAGGTCCTCCTTGTGGATCTCGGTGTTGCTGTACTTGCTCATGAGCACGATCTCGCGGTGCAGCTGCACGGTGCGGTGCCGCAGCTCGGCGATCTTGCGGCTCAGCATGTAGCTGTGCAGCCGGTACTGGTACGGGGGGTTCTTGTTGGGGTGCAGCGTTATGGCTCGGTGGATCTTGCTGTTCCTCAGGTCACGGATGTAGCCTTTCTTGTTCTTCTCGTAATTCTCGTAGAACAGCTGCTGCATCTAGCGGGGAGAGAGAGAGGAGAAGTCAGAGCCTGGCAGAGCTGACCCTGTGAAAGTTTGCCCACGCTACCCCGCTGGGAGAGAATTCCCCCTCGCTCACAGGGCCAGGCGGCTTTCTGAATAAGCTCTGCTTGGGTTTAGGCACAGGTTGTAGCAATACCAGCTGCTATTCAAGGAAATTAAGAGGATTATTCATTGTGAACTGGTGAAAGAAACATCTATCATGGATTTGGGATTACTGCAGCCCATTCTAGAGGAATCACCGGCGGCCAAACAATTCTGCACTAAGTCCATTGTAAGCTCATTTCTTCACAACAACACGCCATCACCAGGAAAATAACACCGTGAAGTGTTCACTACAAAACTCTCATTATTCATTTGTTTCTCATTGTTTTCATATAAATAATAAAGAAGAATAAAAAGGGATGCCATGTACATGCTAAACAAATCTGACAACACCTTCTCCATTACACCCAAATGCCATTTAAACATTAAAAATCCAGGTTTAGGCATTAAAAATGCAGGTTGCTGAATGTTTTAGTCAAGATGCCAAATATCCTACCTCGAGTGCTGCAATGCAAAGCTACAGGTGTCATTTCAAAATGTCAATGGACAGTAAAGTGCACCTGAGATTCCTAGAGTTCCAGAGTCACGTAATACAGAGTGCACACGTACACCATAATAAAAACATCCTTAACGTGGCATTTGCTATCTCAAAACAGGAAGATAATGAGCTGAGATTAGATTCACAGCTCTCAGGAAAGCAGACCAACCAGCTTTACAGTCCTCAGCAGCTCAGGCAGTAGCTGATATCATGAAAGGCAAACCAGGACGACAATGTGGAAAATAAACTGAAAATAAAACCTTGAGACCAAAGGTACATACCAGCTTAGATAATGGAAATTTAAAAAGACCATGGGCAGATTCTATGTCACAGCACAAATGCCATCAACCTGCCAGAGCTGACACAGCACCCTCATTCAATAAGGGATCCAATCTCTGTTACTGGCAGTGGAATCTGCCACAGGAAACACGGCAATAAAGCTTGTGTAAAAGGTCAGCAAAGAGCCAAACTCAAAAAAAGAACCAGGGAGAAGGTCTCAAATATGATGGCAATCAAACAGAGCACTAAAAAGGAAATCACCAGCACAGAAACCTTCCTTTTACCAGCTGCTCAGAGCCAGCACAAGTCCTGTTTTATTAGGCCTTCGGTTGCATTTTTCCCATTATTGTGGACAGACAGTGAAGCTCAGGGATAAACTTACACCTGGATTTAATTGCTCTATCTCAACAAGCCGGCTGTGTGCATGCTGAAACCTGACATCGGGCGGATCGCTGCCGACAGGACAGAGCTGGCTGAGCCCACTGGGAGCAGGGACTGAATGTGAGCAAACGTAAATCACTGCAAAGGAGCGAGGGAGGGAGGGATTGCAGCAGGACTGGCAAAGAAAGGATGCTTATTTCGTGGGTCACCAGCAGGCCCCCACCCCCTTCTCCTCCAAGTTCACCTTCCTCCCGCTCTCCCCAAGTGATCCTGCTGCGTGCACGCTGTCTGGGAGCACTCCAGGCTAGAGATGGATGGATGTGCACAGGATGCAGCCAAAGGAGAACATCTTGGCCATGGCCCCTTGGCAGCCTCAGATGAGCTGCCTGTCGAGATGGATAATGTCCCTTTGGAAGGCGTGCAGGACTGAACACAGCGCTACGGGCAGAGGTGAGCGGGGCTTATCCCACGTCCAGCAGAGTTATCCAAACTGAATGAACCTCGTGCTCTCCCAAGAAACACGGTTTTTCCACTCACCCTAAAGACTGTTCTTCATTTGTATCCCTGTACTGTTTCCTCTACTAATAAAACTTTATTTCTTTGGTCACTTTGAACCTGGCTGTGGCTGTGAAGGGCTCTAGGAGACCTTAAATCACACCCACCTAGGGTCAGTCCTGTGAGCACCATGTAGTGCAGTGGAGAGCTCTCATGGGAATAGCAGCATCAGTTCAACACTGCAGGACCCACTTATTCTACTGACAACACTGATCCATCCTCTTAACACTAGGCACACGTAAAACTACAAGTATTAAATGCATATGGTAACCAATTTCACTGACATTTTAACAACAACTATAGGCAGAGGCTTTTCCAGGAGTCCTGTGACATCTGATAAAAATTCTTAAATCACATCATTAGGCCACCATTATTTAAAAGAAAATTGACAGTAGGATTTAATTTCAAGTCTTGTTTTGAATTTATAAGACAACAAAATCAAGACCATGCAGCCTGAATGCATTTACTCCAAAATTGCTACCTAGGGCATTCTGAAGAGGAAACCATGACAAGCAGAAAGGCTTTCAGATTACACAACAAAGTTTTAATAGAATACTGATGGGTAGGAAAATGTTATGAAACATCCAAATGGAAGTAAAGATAGGAACCCCTAGCAAATGGCACAAATTAAAATTAAGAAGCATATTTTAAAGCTCTGGTTTGCCACTCAGGAGTAACGTCTTCGGTAGACCAGTTACCTTCTAATACTCCTTCCTGCCCCTTCCCAAAACTAGCTTGCTTTGAAAACTGAAAATAAAACACATCTCAGCAAGCCTTTAGTGGGGCTCCAACACAAAGCAATTTACAACTGAAACATCAATTAACATGCACCTTGCTCCAGCCAAGAGGTGACAACTGCCCCAGCCCTGCGCTCGGGCCAACCCTGCCGTGCAGCTAATGAGGAGCACCACAGCAGCCAGGCTTTTATATAATCCCATTTTTCAGGAGAATGCCTTGCAGGGCTGGCACGTTCCATGTTTTGCCTGTGAAGTCTCCCCCTGTCCTGCTGCAGTGTCCCCCTGTCCCTGGCACTCAGCAGGCTGCAGCAGGCACGGGCTGTGCCAGGATCCCACAGCTCTGATCCTCCATGGGCAGCCAAGGCGCACCCCACACCAGCAGGAAACACAAAGAAGGGTGCTGGAAGGGGTTAACAACTCCCTACCGAGAGTACAAGGAGTTACAAACCATTTGTTCACAGTGACACCAAGCCTGCACACAAAGCCCAAGTGGCCAGTGGCCAGCAGAGCAGTTTAACCCTTCTCGGGCCGAGGCGGGGGCAGACACTGGACCCAGGGCCACAGAAGGGCTGTGAGGGCCCAGGGCTTTGTCCCAGAAACCAGCCCCACATGGATTCTGTTTGCTCATCACACCTACACACTTGAAGGAAATGAGCAGTTCATTTGATAGCTCCACCAACATTGATCTGCCCAAATCATTAAGGCTCCCCAGCACTGGGTTCAATCACAAGGGCAATGCCCACCTATCACCAATCATTGCTAATATAATTTATTACCATATCTGGGTCCAAAGCACTGTGCTAAATATCACCAATTAACACATGCTGGCTTTTGACTCCACGTGACACTGGACAGCCGTAAGGAAGATACAAAATCACAATTAATCTTGTGTACATCACCAATGGGTGGGTGGAAGAAGGCCATAGAGAAGGGAATACCTGTGATTTATTTGCTCCTCCCAGTCCCTAAACACACACGTGGGGAGTGACACAAGCCCAGGACATGCACGTCTCCCACAGACATTACGTGCCAAATTCCCCACGCCTGTTACCAGAGTCTTGAGAGTTGAACTCTTGCAAACTCTTCTTCCAGTGAAACAGGTTTCTCTATGATTCTTTTTTTAAAAAAGGAACCTTTCATGGATATTAATTTTGCAATGATTATATTCTAAGCATGCTTTATTCTAGTGCAGAGCACTGAGAGCATAGGGATACAAAGAAGAGCTACTCTTTATTGACCACTATTTACTCTAGACCTGTTGAAGCCTTAAAAACCTTAATGTTCCCCAAACCATTAGAGACTGAATGTTTAAACTGTGGTACAGCTGTTGTGGGCACTGCTGGCTCATGTCCAAAAGACCAACTGAAAGGAGAGAGTGTTATGTTCTTCGTTTTAAATGAAGAAGTCTTTTGCAGGCCAAAAAAAAGTGTACTGGAGAAAATGGACTTTAAAAATAAGACCAGTTTATGCAGAAACTGGCCTGCAGCCACGGATCGGCCCCCGAGGGCTTTCTCTCACAGCTCCAGATTGTGCTACCAGAGCCCAGAAAACACAGCCCCACAAGCCTCAGGAACAGCAACCATGGGTAAGACATGTTCTATGGCAGGCTTCAAAATGCCCAAGGTGGGTTTCAATACAAAGCCCAGCTAATTGAAAGCCCAATGATGGTTAATGTCACCTCTGTCAGGAGGGGACGAGGGTGAGGGTCCCAGTGTGCAGCTGCAGGAGCAGGGCAGGTGCTGGGACAGCCCCACAGCCAAACCCAGGCAGATGCTCAGGTCCATCTCCTCCTCACAAAGATGTGCCACAGCTGGTGGCAAGGGGGCAGCTCCTGCTGAAGTGAGATTAAAGTCCTTCTGCTACCACATCCCAAGCAACTGCACTAGCACCATTTTGCACTGATTAACCACAACACATCTCCAGTTTTCTGGTTTATACATCACCAATACAGCTCAACTGATGATAAATTTTGCCAAGGGAAAGGAGCAGCAGGGTTTTGAGACTTCCCTCTGCTGGAGGGGAAGACTGTAGGGACCTCCTGGATACAACTCTGTGCATTCAGGGTTCTCTCTGTTTAAATCCTGATGCTTTATATCCCACAGCTAAGCACTGACATGACTGAAGCCACTCCTCAGCCAGAGTTATTATGGTGGAGACAAACACGGGGAAGTCATGGATAAACACTCACTTCCAGTGAACTTGGCCACTCGTTCATGGCTTTAAGCTCCCCAGTTGCCACTACAGGAAAGGATGCAGGAAATGCCACTCGGTGCTGGGAGATCAGACTTCCCTCTCAGCTGGCAAGTGAAGCCCTGAGCTCTGGAGCACAATTAAATGATGTGATTCTTCAGACAAGTCACTTCTCACACAAACTTCATCATGTACTGCTGGTTCACGTTTGCTTTGTTTCATAAAGAGAGGCAAGAAAATCATCCTGAGCAGTG